GTTAGAATGAATATTAGTTGAAATGTATGCACCGTTTATTTTAATTTGTGGAGTTTTTTAATGAAAACCGGGCGACGTCAGCTGATATTACGCCAAGTTTTTGATGCTGTTTCGTGTTTGTTTTTTTTTTCTTGTTTTCCTGTGATTCGGCCTCAGATCAGTTAAAAACACGGAAACAGGAAACAGATGATCGTTGTCGTAGACATGTGTTGTAGCAGGACGTACTAGTTCAGTCTAAAAAATGAGATTTTCCACCTCCACCAGGGCATGTCATCTCCTGCGTGTCATTTCGGTCCGGGGCCGAAGTCACGGGGGCTTTTACCTCACCCTGAATTCTTCTGCCATAAAGTGAAAGTTCTGTTGGACACGTTGACCCTCTTATCACCAAGTGGAAACCAAAGCAAACAAAAGACGCAGCAGCTAACCAGCAGATAAGGTCACCGAGGAATTATGTCAGATGGCTGACACACACACACACACACTTTCACTCCCTCCTTGTCTGTCTTTTGTATTTGACCTAATAGCAGTTTGATCACGCACGCAGCCATTGCTGAATTATGTGGGTGTGGGTTTGGCGAAACGTTTCCCTCCATAAAATGAAAACACACTTCAGCAGACACAAATGCAGAGACGTGAAGACACACACCCTAACAAAGCCTTCTGGTTTTTGTTAACTCTCCTCATTACTTCACCTTATTTTTTAATGCCTTTTTTTTTTCATTTTTGATACCTGAACTACCATTGCGCAGCTCCCACTTTGTTTGTACTTATTTGTTATCCTGACGCCAAAACAACACGTTTGTTTGCTCGGCTCCACGTCTTCTCACTCGAGCAGTCGTGTCGTATCGGTGAGGAAGATCTGCACGTTGAGGTCATTGAGAAGTGTATTTTTGATTTAATGCCATGATTCCCACACCCAAGAGTGAAGTCATGTGGATGTGGTGGGATCCAGTTTAGGACGAGGTTTGTTATGATTTCCCTCTGTATATTTAATGCCCACAGGACGGTGCTGATGTCCCGGCCCTCTGGGGCTGTGGTTGTTGTGAATCATGCTGAAAATGTGGGTCGGTTAAAGAAGCTGCCATTCCCACACTTGTATAACGTGATCAGAATGAACCGGGCTCGTATTTAATCGACACAAGATGGCTGACAAACTGTCCACCGGGGGCTTTGAGACTTGACATCCAGTCGCAGGGAAACTGAAGCAAGTAATGGTTGACGTCCTTTTCCAAAACACTCCTGAAACTCTAACAACTCTAATGTGGCTTTAAGTTTTACCGTATTGTCCAGACAATAAGTCGCTCTGGAGTAAAAGTCACTCCAGTGCCCTCTAGTGGCTGTCAGTGTGAAAATAATAAACGTAAATTTTTTAGGGGTACAGGAGAAGCAGATACTGATACACAAGCCTAGAGTGCCCTCTAGCGGCGGTCAGTGTAAATATAACAAACGTGAAATTATATATTTTAATAGAAAGTCGCACCTGAGTATGACGCAAACCCAGCCAAAGGATGAAAAAAATCGGGATTTATAGTCCGTTAAATTACGGTAGGTCGTTTTTCAGTTGTAGTCTTTATAAGATAGATAGAACTTTATTAATCAATCCCTCGGGAGTTTCCTTCGGGAAATTAAGGAAAATGCCGAAACCCGGGATTGAACCAGGGACCTTCAGATCTTCAGTCTGACGCTCTCCCAACTGAGCTATTTCGGCCTGCTGGGACAATAGTCTGGTCCAAACGGTGTAGCTACACCAAAGGTTAAACTAAAATTAAGATCGTTAGGAAAATCATTAACTTAATTCTCATGTCTCTCTACGTCAGTGGTTCTCAATCATGTCCCCCTTGGGGACAGAAATAGTTTCACGCCACCCTCACTCCTGCCCGACCCACATTCATGCGAATTGAAATACTATTGAGAACGTGATAACGTGTATATTTTTCTCTGTACAAACCACTGTACGAGTTGCTGCCACCTAGTGACTGGAGGCTTGTTATCATTCAAGCATTACAGCAGTGGTACACTGATGTCCAGCTTACCTTTTACCATTGGAAGCCCCTCACGCCCTCTCCCCCTCCAAAAGGGGGACCCCCCCCCTTTGTCCTTACTACTTGAACTTTATACCTTAGTTTTAGATCAATAGATAAATATGGCTCCTCGTGTTTGTTATATATATTAGACAACGGCGAGGTCAGTCACCTGTGTGACAAAGTTGTTCTTTTATATGTGTTTACATGACAATTAACTTTTCTCAACTCTTGAAAAATCCAACTTTTGTGCTCACGAAAAGTCAAAAATGCTAATATTAGACACAAACTGGAAAAGTCGTAAAAAAAAAATAACCCAAACTTTTTATATCAGTGAACCCTGTAAACACACACACACATACACATTTCTGCTGATCTTTTTGACAGTTTGACAATCACTGCAAACCAAACCTATCCTTATGTACAGAACTCCAGACGTCTTATAGAATGTGCGTCTGTAAATGCCAGCCGATCTCTCAGGGCCACAAAAACACCA